ATCACACACCGACTGTCCATCCCTGAGTAGCTCCAGCCTAGCCTAAAACATGACTTTCTCTGAGAAATGAGTGAATTAAATACTTTCAAAGAGAGTGATCCATTCTAGAAGCTCGGGGTTGGGATTTTGGATTCCTCCGTTTGAGTTTAAATTAAGATTTCCTCCCTACGTAAAGCGCCTGCTACTCCCCATTCCCGTCTGGCCTCTGTGGGCGATGGGCAGTCATGGAGGAGATGCCATGCAAATGCTGTGGTAGTGTTTGCTACCGAACCACTGTTCCCTGTTTCCTCAGGGGTAAAAAGCCCACAGTGCGTATATTATATTTTGGAAGATTAGTGCTATCAAGTTGTTTCCTGGACGCATTTTAGCTGTGTGTTTGCTGTTCCACTGGTTGCTTGTGGAAGCAGCAGCTCCATGAAGAAAAAAGACTGCTCTGTGGAGTCCCTATAGAGCCAGCTTTTCCTCATTAAAAGTGCTGCTTAGCAAAACATTGTTAGGGTTGCAGAACAAACTTAGGTTTCTTCATACATACCCTGCGCTCCCCCTAATTTAATATTATGCAAAGCAAATTGTCTTCAGGAGCCCGTACAACTTTGTTGGGTTTGTGTTAGGCTTAATTGGCATATCTTCAACCGTGTTACTTTCATTAGATTTGCACATTCATTGAAAGATGCTCAAAATAAAAATTTAGCTTTTGCACAGCTGTATTCACTTCGCAGAAGAGGAAATTTACTGGTCTGAGTAAAATGATAGCATACATAGGTGGTCGGTTTTCAGAGGAGAGCCTCATGAACAGTAGCACTAAACCCAGACATGGAATTACTACTAGAAATGAGCTGGGAAGTAAATATACATGCACTCCTGAGATACAGACATTTTCTTTCTCTGAGGATCAGGCAGATGAATTTTTGGTTGAATTTGTCTGGTTTTAAATGTATTCAGTAATACCATTGTTATCCTTAAGAAACCTAGGCATCGTAGGTGCTACCACATACAGTCAAGCACTAGAGCAAAGGATCATTACACAAATGCTTGGAACGTTTTCTTTTCTTTTTTTAGAATTTCTTTATTTTGTTGTGCAGTCTATCCATTAGGCTTTTCAGAGAGATTTGTATTTTACAAATTCCTCTTTTAGATTTTTAATTTCATTCAGTTATTTAAAAGATTGTCTTTAGACTCAGAAATGAGCAATGCAAATGTTTGCTGTTGACAATTGTGACTTGGTACTTAATGATTTCTTCAACAGCTCAGCATGTTTGTGCTACTGTTCTAGGCCCATGTAGAGAATAAACCCTCAGCCCCCTCTTTTCTCACCTTGGCTGAATAAAGGCTGCTGAGACTGCTGTGCCAGCTCCGGCGAAAGGCAAGGATAGACACTTGGAGGACCCGATGTCATGTGCTGGGTCTACAGCTGGGGGAAAAGCGCTCTCCCTGGATGTTAATTATGTAAAAAGAGGGCAGTGATATTCTATAAGGGAGCTGAAACACTGTCACTGAATTATCAGTGAGCATGGTGCATCCACCTATCTTTGCTTTAAGTTAGGAAGGTTGAGTCCCAGTAACTCAGCACCGAGCAGCTGCAGCGTGCTTGGGATCTCGGTCAAGCCTGTATTATTTTCTGTGAGCACAGGACAGCCACCAGCTTGAAGTTAGATTGGTAAGTCTAGTCCATACCAAAGGCACAAATGCATGGTATGAACATAGGCTACCTCAAATTCTTTTCCCATGGTTGATGCCTAGGCTGTGTGGCTAGGTTCTGCTTTTTACACGGGACAGATGCAATTATAAGCAAGCTGAAATATCTGAAGAATTCATGTGTAAGATACTTAAATGAGTAGAGGAGGATATTTAGTCTTCTTTATCAAACTTAAAATAAAACCAATGAAAGTTTAAACATTTCAGGAGTCCCAAACAATACTTTATATCCTTTCATTTGCCAGGCCTGTGAATCCAATATGAACTGTTTGCTATTTCACAAGGTTTTCCTTTTCCTAACTGGGATTTACCAAACTTTAATTTGCAAAGTTATGGTGCTTTCTTAATAAATATCTTCTACTTATTCATTTGGCTGCTAAATGAGATTTTTCTAATTTCTGGAAATTTCATTCTGTTATCAATATTTCTTCTTACTTCGGGGAAGAAAGGATATACATGCACTGAACTGAACTATAATCCATTCTACAGCCTATTCAAGCTGTTGCAGTACTGTAAAGCATCTGGAAACAAAATTATGTATTTCAGCAAATAATCTACTTGTAAGACACTTCTATTAACTGCAAGTGTGTAGTGAGAAGGTACAGTAGTGGTTTAATATATCACCAAGATAGACAATGTTTGAATGTACATGTTAATCGACATTTTTAGGAATTACAAATAAGACAACTCTGTGCACAGTACTTTAAAATGCAGTGAACTTTTCTTCTAGTTGCATTAACAATACCAGTTCCTTACACAGTCAAATCTGGTTAAAAGCTCTATTCCCAGTGTAATAAATGTGACAGTACAGGTACAACTCTGACAAAAGAGATCATTAAGGCTCTGTTCTGATGATTGTTTCTCTGTACATACCTCCCCTCCACTCCCCGCTTCTGTCAGTCCTTTCCTCCCCATTTTTTCATACAGAATGAAAAGCTCATTGGCTCAAGGGTATTCAGGAAGAAAAGTTTAAGATAAAAGATTTTAACCTGAAAGTAATGAAACATGTCATGAAATGTAGGCTCATAGTAATAGCAATACCTGGTACTTATAAAGCTGTTTTAATATTTTTTTTTATTATTTTTTTTTGGTATGGCAGAAGAAACCAGTATCCACATCCCATGGTGCTAAACACTACAACAGGTAGCACACAGAGAAAAGAGTCCAGACTGAAAATCGTACAGTCAGACTGGGTCTCAGCAGTCTTTGTGAATTCAAGGAAGAACGATCATCTCTCTTTTCGAGATACAGAAGGTGAGGCACAGAAAACCTAAATGCCTTGCTCAGAAACACACAGTGAACCAGTGGTGGTAGACTTTGGGTCTGTTGACTCCCCAGCCACCGATTTCTTCGTTGGCTCATTCTGTCCTCTTAAACAACTAAGAGATCTTCTGAGGTACACAACATGGCCCTAGTATCAGAGGGGAATCAGTGTCAAATGCACACAGCCTGATTCTGAGCGACCTTTTGGCATCTGTAGTCATGTTTACTTTTGTAAAGCGGGCCTAAAATGCCCTCAAATCAAAATTGATTTGGTGTAAACAATTAGTACATGTAGTTTAATAAAGAATCAGGCTCACAGCAATTACTTTGTGGCATGCTGAGACTAGAATTAACTAACTGTTTTAATTGCTAATGAATTAAGGCTGATTCCTGTTTATATTAAGGCCTCTGTATCCTTCTATGACAGTGTAACTGTGCCTCAGTGCAAGTGAGACTCAGGCTATTGAAAAATTAACCTTTCGGTTCCCTTTGAAGTCAGTAATTTTAGTGGCCCTAAATGAGTAAAATAATTGTAACCAAACAACCGGTCTCTATACTACAGAATATTTACAAAAGGTTTGTAAAAGGACCTAAAAGTAACCTGAGGGAAAACCAATTATATGTTTGTTGAAGAAAAAAGTTAGATTAGATAGTTGCCTGGTCTTGAAAATGGAGAATTGTAACACGGTAACACACCTCTATATGAAGATAACTGGCTTGATGTTCAGCAGTTATGAGTACACCCAGATAAACTGTCGATGCTTATCAGTTCTGGAGATCGAGGCATCTTGTTACACTACTACAATAAAATAGAAGTAGACTTATTTGGTATTTAAGTGCTAGACATATAGGGCATAGTTTGCATAAAGCTAGTGTGTGTTATATTCAGAGGAGTAGGAAGATGACCTCAAGCTCAGTAAAATGCTACATGATCATAGATTTCTCTTATTATTATTGTTATTAAAAGCTATTATGTGTTGCTTTCTTAGAACAGGGGTTCTCCAACTTTGCTGTCTGTAGTCAAGCATTATTTTAGAAATTCTCTCCTCTCCAAACACTCTATTCATAAACAGTTTTGGTTTGAAAAACCTTCATTTCTTAGACAACAGTTGAACAGTTGCTGGCTGAGAATAAAACAATCCTTGCTCTATTCAAATTTAAGGCCTAGGTCCCCATGGGTTGCAGCACTTTTAAACTTATTTGTACTTCTAGTTAGAAGTAGATTTATTTTTTAAAGCTAATATGGAATTTGTGTACATTAACATAATTCCCTACGCATCCAAAACGTAACTCCAGTGTTTTGGAAATCTGTTTTGTATACAAGTCAAATAACAGCTGGATCATATGTGATGTTACATTTAGTTTCATTGGCAATTCAGAAAATATTGAATAATAAATTTCATTGCTTCTATTCTCCGTTTTCATATACAAATAAATCTTCTTTTCTAAAACATTCTTTTTCTTTAGTAAGGCTTGTATTCATAGTCATATCAAAAGTGTTTGCTATTGGAGCAATCTTCCAGCTTGCTTTCTTTAGAGTTATCCTTATTATGAAATTCTACAGCATTCTAAACTTTAACGGCCTTTAGCAACCCTGCACTTGAGTGAAGAATCACATTAAAAAAGTATAAGGTATAATATTTTCTTGTCCACAACTAAGGCAGAATGGACAAAAGTAATGAGCTCATCTGATCCTCACCTAACAAGCCTTGATTTTAAACAGTATTCAAAATACGGATCCCAAGTGAGGATGTCGTCACCATGATTATTGCGCTTTCTCATTGTCTTAGTACTGAATTAGTTTTTCCTTTAGCAATATAGAATTTCTTTTCCTGAAGACCACACAAAGTGATTGTACTCTAAAAGAAAAAAAGCACTTAAAGTTTTATGAAGTTATGACCTAGACAGAAGGATACAAAAACAAATTACCGTCCTGTGATTCAGCTATGTCATGATCTAATAGTGTTTCAAAATTATTATTCTGTTATTTAGGTTGGCATCATCTTCCGAACACCCGATGTGCTCTTTGGCATGCTACACATTCAGCAGATGCACTGTCTTCTGGGCTTTACAGCCTCTTCTGACGAATGTACAACATTTGGAACAAAGCCGCTCTTCACACCTTCCCATCCATCTTGTATTGAGATTTCTCCCTTTTTTACAAGTTCATAGATGTCTCGGGTAAGAATGGTAAAGGACTCTTCAACATTCGTGGCATCTTTCGCTGAAGTTTCTATATATTTCATACCACAGTCAGATGACAGTTTTTCGGCTTCTTCTCTTGTAACCTCACGCTGTGACACTAGGTCACATTTATGTCCTACTAACAGGAACACAATCTGAAAGGGCTGTACGTGCATTTTTGCTTCTTCTAGCCAGTCTTTCACGTGTTCAAAAGATCGGCGATTCGTGATGTCGAACACTAGTAAGCCACCCACAGAATTGCGATAATAAGAGCGTGTTATTGATCTGTGAAGGAAAAGAAAGAAAAAGGAAAATCAAAATACATTTTCACTTCATTCACAAATAGATTCCTTTTCCATGTGGCAATGTGTTTTTATCTACTATAAGTATTAAGTTTGAAATATCTTTGCTTTTTTAAAACTAGTTGGAATTTAGTAATTTACCTTCTATACACAAATATGTTCCTTTTTAATGTTTCCCTTTCATTCAGGCTTCATACAGGCTTTTCCTTTCATACAGGCTCTGTAGGAAGGACAGGCAGGGGACATGAAGAGGGGATGTTGCTCTCTATGTCAGAGACAAGCTGGAGTGTATGGAACTCCACCTGGGGATGGATGAGGAGCTGACCGAGAGCTGATGGATCAGGATTAAAGGGAGGGCAGGAAGAGGGGATATGGTAGTAGGAGTTTGCTATAGGCCATTGGGCCAGGAGGAGTGAGTGGATGAGGCCCTCTACAGACAGATAACAACAGCCTCACGTTCACATACCCTGGTCCTCATGGTGGACTTCAACCACCCCGATATCTGTTGGAGGGACAACACAGCAAGGCACAAGAAAGCCAGGAGGTTCCTGGAATGTGTCGATGACAACTTCCTGCTCCAAGTGATAGAGGAGCTGACGAGGAGGGGTGCCATGCTGGACCTTGTCCTCACCAACAGGGAGGAGCTGGTGGGAAATGTGAAGCTCAAGGGCAGCCTTGGCTGCAGCGACCATGAAATGGTGGAGTTTGAGATCCTTATGGAGGCAAGGAGGGTGTGCAGCAAGCTCGCTACCCTGGACTTCAGGAGAGCAGACTTCGGCCTCTTCAGGCAGCTGATTGGCCAAGTTCCATGGCATGAAGCCCTGGAGGGAAGAGGGGC